AAATATACTAAACTGTATCACTTTAAGCACACCAACGTGCGTTAGTCCATTAACTTAATTTGATATACACATTTCATTGTTTTTAAGAGTTGTGGTAGGTCTTACGTTAGTTTTTACTTGGTACACCTCTTTAGCACCAAAAGGCACGTATTACGAATTTTCCGTGTCTTTTCTACTAGCTGTATAGAAGATAAGCTGAAAAGTTTGCTTTCCTGTATCATAATAACCCTTACTGATCCTAGTTGATAGGGTTTGGGTTCCAACGGTGGCGTAATTCCGTCTCTACCTAAGTAGTTAGGTCGGGATGAGAAGTCTGGCGGCGGGCTGCTCTGATCGGTAGTTTCCCGTGGTTTCTCCGATCAATACCAGGCGCAGTACCCTACCAAATGGGCCACACACCGCGCGAGTTCGTCCTACCCCATCCTTGCCCCCTCCTCTTCCCTTACACGCACACATTGACACTTGCATCACTACACTAACTACCATAGACCAGTCGGAAGCTTAGAGCTAACCCCGGCTGGGGCGGGGCCCCGAGACGAAAATACCCAGAGGGGAAAATTCGAGAGGGAGAAGTGAAGGACTGCGCATGATTTCACGTTCCAGGAGCACTGTCACCTCCTTTAATGTTTCATTCACTACACTTTTGGTACTAACGACTATAGAAGCTGAGAGTCTGAAAACACAAAATAATCAATCTCATATATTATATCATACATTTCATAAAAATAAGGGAAAATTGCCAATTGGTGACATTTTTTAAATTTGTCATGGGTAGAATAAGCTTAAATATGTTACGAAATTATAGACCAAAAACCAGACATTCATCTGAAGTTAAAATAAAAAGTGCCTCTTGGATTTCAAAAACAGTAATTTGTAGTTTGTGCAGTTTACAAACTCCCCGTCATTGTTGGCCACCAATATTGATATCATTTAGAATCAAACAGCTTTCAAAGGATGTGGAATGGCCAAACGAAACAGGAGTTTAACCTCCTTAGACCCACTGTGGTTTTAAAATAACAACTTTAAAAACTTTGAAGTTAGAACCAGAATGAAAGTACAAACATACTTTCAATTTCCATTTTTGAAACATGTCTGCATTGTCGAAAAATGACATATGTGAGAACATATACTCTGCTATTGATGGAATGATAAGTGTCATTGGGATATTTCATTACCGGGTTTTATCACCTGATGCAGGTAGCCAGTTTTCAGATATTCAGAGTACATATGCCAATAAGTGTCTGTTGTCCTCTTGCTTCTCATTGTCAACAGAAGTTAATTTTATTCAAAATCCCTGTTTTGTTTTAACTGCCTCTACCATTCTACTTCATAAATTACAAAATGAATCTTATGTGCCATAGTATCCCCTAATATTAAAAACAATCAAATCAAGTATTATTTTAACAATTATTTTGTTGGCATAAAAATATGTTTCACAACCCAATGTGGCCGCATGATCAGGTGTTCTGTAATCAAGCAGTTTTAAAAATTAAAAATGTTTCTTTCATCATAAAAAATGTCAATATGAAATAACAATTTAAAAGCAAAGTAAGATTTAAAGTTAGGATTACAATTGAAATTGAATACAATATAAAAAACAAGAACCTAATGATTACTATAAAATCACAAATTATATATAAATATGTGAATATTAAGCTTACTTAGACAAAGAAAGGAATAACATTAAAAAATCACAAGTGGTAAACATAAAATAATAATAATAATAATAGTAATAAAAAAAATCTAGATCAATCACTAACATCAAAATCAGAGAACCAATTGAAAATAAAAAATTCAATAGTGAGGCACCTAGAATGGAGGGGGTAGAAGTAGCAAAGAAAGGGATAGGGGGAAGTAAAATCAACAAAAGTAAGGAATAAACAACCAACATAAGAAGAAGATTAAACACATGGGACCATTCATTTCATTATTCCCTACATCATCATTTTATTTTGGACAAAACATTTTCATAAATATTGGTGAAAATATTGTTCATGTTGACAGTCTGATGAATCTTAATATTTAAGGACTGAGGAATCTAAGGGTATTTCATAGATTCAATTTCTAAAATGGAAGTCTTCGGAAGTAGAAATTACATGAGGAATTGAACCTGTAGCAAATTTAATTTGGAAGTAGAAGCTTTAAAGTTACTTCCATGTTCTTTCATCCTCTCCTTGTGCCTTTTGATTTAGCTTGTATACCATAAGGCAGGCAAGGAACAGAGTAAACAATATTTTCTTTGTCTAAAAGAGGAACAGAATCTTTAACATTCCTGATAAGTCTTTTTTTATTAATCAGATTTTCTTAATTTTAATTACAATATCTAATATTGTACATTCTTTCATACATTTATTCAAAATCTTGGGAATATATGGAATGGAAATATTGTTAGTTATTTTCTGATTATCATTTTTCAAGACATTAAAAGATTGTTCACATGTAGATTCAAATTTCTTTGATTTATCATGGCTTCTTTATGAATTTACTGGAGAAAACTAAAGAATAATTATTTTCCCTACCTATTTCCCTAATTACATTTAAATTAGATCCATAGTTGGGTCAGAAAGACAAATAGCCATATCAACCATCTCATAAACAATAGCAATATTTTGCTGAAAGAGGTGGGCAGAAATATAATTCAAAGTTCTCCCAGAAGAACAACCTTTCCAAAACCAGTTGGTAGAAATTTTATTTCCTCCCAAACTTAATGTAAGATCTAGAAAGTTGATAGAATTGATAGTAGACTCTTTGATAAGTTATAGAACAGGATCAGACAAACTATAATCAGATAGAAGTTATGTGATTTCATCATTAGGTGCAATAATTAAGATGTCATCTACATATCTGATGTAAAAGAAAGAATTTCTTTTTGATAAAATGGATTTTTCCAATTTTCTCATCTCAATTTCTGAAAATAATGAATCTGTCAATTGCTTGTAAATGACATTACCAAAGGTAAACTCAATGCTGTTTAATATACATTTAGTCACCAACAAAATTTCAAGAGGAAATAGAAAATTTGATATTTTATAATAGTCCAATATAAGTGGATAGGGTAAGCTAAAATATATGCTTCAACATCAAATGAAACTTTATCATGATTTGATAGAACAACTAGAGCTTTCAAAATATTCATTAATTTAAAGTTGCTTTTTATTATGTAACTCTCATTAATTTTCAAGACATACTTGTAATACATGGTTTAAGAATTTTTCGCAATTTATAATGGGGAGTACCAATAGATGACACACTAGGTCTTACGGGAAAACCTTTGCCTTTAATTAAGGCTTTGTCTTTCATTGAGAACTTTTCAGAATATTTTTAGAAACTCGCACCAACCACAAATGTCTACATGAAAGTATTCTAAGTAAAAATACCTTAAAATTATTATGTAAAGACAAGTGAAATTATTTGAAAAATTCAGACCTACTTTGTACATCTAATTTTAGATTAAACAACTGATTCAAGTTAGATACAATATTTCTAATTTGCTGTTGGGAATATTGAACATATATTATCCAAATAAACTTTATTATTTGATGCTAGGGAGTATTACATAGCTTTTTGATAAATTATATCTTATCTTGAAATGTTTGATTTGCATCTTTTGTACATATTCTTACAATGTATAATACATAATAAATTGTATATTTCATATACTTTTATTGATATAAATGTGGATCTTGTCTATAATATTGTTTGAAACATCATAGGTGATACAGCACTCTTGCCCAATATCTTGATTTATTTTCATGACTACCTTTTCTTTGTATTTAGATTCACTCATATAATAGTTTTATTATCCATGCATTTTATTACATCTGTTAATTTTCTGGGTATTCTTTTCTTTTCCATGCTTTTCCACAGTGTATGCTTTATTACCCTGTCAAATGTCTTTTCCAGGTCTAAGAACAGAAAGTGTGTATCTAGGTTTATTTCTTGATGCTTCTCAATAATTTGTTAAAAAGTTAATTTTCTACTCATATAAGACCTTCACATTCTTTTGGATCTCTATGCTGTGCAATTGCATAGACCTATTTACTTATGATCTTGGCACATATTTTGTCCCTAGTATTTTATATGAGGGTGCCTCGGTAGTTACAGAAGTTATTTCTGTCTCCATTCTTGTAGATAGGGGTAACCATTCCACTGTAATGTCAGGAAATATTTCATCCAGCAGTTGTTTAAAAGTTGCAGGAGTAGGAGCTTAGTAAGTGTTTCAACTGTCTCTGAATACATTTCATCTGACCAGGCAGCTTTTCCACATTTTATTGTTGCAATCACTTCTTCTCGTTCATACATTGATGACAGGTCAATTTGAATTCTCAAAGCTGATAGTGTTTTTTTGTGTATATCTAACCATAAGTTTTACAAATGTTCACTCTTCATTCCTTTATTCTTCCTTTTTAACCTTTTTTTCCTTTTGATTGATTCTGTATCTTATTGTGTTTTATTTTCTGTTCTTTGGAATTACCTTGATGAAATCATAGTTGCACAATTGAAAGAAGCAGTTGTGGTAATACAAAACATACTCAATTTATATAGCACTAGTATTAAGTGTGCACACTACAATCTTTTTACATTATGAAATTTATATTTTAGTGGACTTAGAGACAAATGTTTATTTCATTACGTTCAAATTATGAGGATCATTTTTTTGTTGATAAGAAACTATTTCTTATAGGCAATCAATTAAACTTTATAACCAAACAAATATAGTAACATAGTCTTTAATAAATAAAAAAACAAAAACAACACAGTAACATAGTTCTACTCTTCTTCAAAATTAATTTTATCTCATTTTCTGTCATATTGTTTTTCTTCCATTTATTTTCCTTATCAAACATTGAAATTTCCAAAATCCAGTAACCATTATCATCATCATCACCATACTGTAACAATTTATGTTTTCATTTATTTATTTTTATATCCTGAACTTTTTATTTCATCTTTTCTTAATGGTTGTTCTCTTTAAGATATTTTATTTTATTTATTTTTAGATAATTAAATTATTTCTTTTAATTTCTTCCATTTCTTCTCTCTTTTGTTCTTTCTTTATAGCCTTTGAGATTTCTTCTTTCATTGGGTTTGCAATATCATTTAAAAACAATAAACTGTTTTAAATTGGGATATTAAGATTATATATATTATTCCTTCTAGGTTTATGGATGAAATTTGTTTTTAATAGCATTTAAATATCTTTCCATTTGCTGACAATTCCAAACTTAAAAAAGGACTTTAAAAGGCATAACTTTTAATCTCTAAATTTTGTGGTAAAGATTCATCTTCAAAACATTGTATTCTTGTGAAAGAAGAATTAGTGAATTTCTCAGTGAAAATTAGTGAACTAATGAAATTCTTATCGAAAATGGCAATGATTGTGCACAATGATTTTATTTTGATATTTACGTCCACAAAAATAATATAAAAATACTTCGTATTACCCCGATTTCTTGCAGCACCACCTTTGGCTCAGGAGACCTTGCATTGATGTCACTGCAGTGTCTCTGACCGGAAGGTTCTAAGGTTCGAATTCCGATGGTGCCAGGAATTTTCAACCACTTAGCTAGTTCGAATTCTGTCTGGAGGAGCGATCGAATTCTACCGGCCAATTGCTCTGATCGGTAGTTGTCAATGGGTCATGTTACGGTATCTTTCCTTCCCTTCCCTTGTCCTACCCTCACAGTTACACACCCGCACACTTACATCCACTACACTACCACACATCCCGGGACATCAGTCGGAACGTAGAGTTTGTCTCGGCTGGGGCGGTGCTCCGGTGGCGAGAGATACCTGGTTGGGGAAAAACTCGCTAGCCGACGGATAGATCTGCGCCGGATCTCGCTATCTTATTGTCGGGCTCTGAAAAGGAGAAAATGGATAAATCTTGATCCTATATAAAGTAAATTATTTCGTCTAATACGTTTTGTAGTCAGAATCCATGTTTTGTGGGTACTTGGTTCCGAAAAATCGATTGACGGCAAAATGTCGTCGTCTGCTTGTCTTTGGTCAACGTTAGCGCCTAAACCTCAGACGATTTTCTTCAATATTTATATTCCCCCATTCAAATTAAATCAACTCAAGGACCTCTGAATTTGAAACGTATATTTTGATTTTTGAGGGAGCTTTACATGAAGTCTCAAAAACTCTTTTAAATATTTTATCAAAGATGAGTCCAAATTTGTTGAATAAAATTTTTCCTCGGATAGCGTAAAGGACGTTTAAGAGAATGGTGAAGGTCGTATTTTCGTGTAAATCCCTTTAATTTCAGATATTCTTTCGCCCTTAGATTATATTTAATTTCGTCGCCAATATCACTGAACAAGTTTTTGCAAGAAAACAAGAAAATCATAAGATAAAATATAACCTACAAAATTAATAATCAGAAATATTACTTAAAATCTTTTTTCAATAATGATAATAATATTTTTATGATATCAAAATAAATAAAGTGACTAACTTATACTCGTATATCAAAACGTCTAAAGTTTGTAAAGGATATTAGACTGAAACTAATACAGGTTATACATAGGTTAGGTTTCACATACGTTTTATTTACTAAAATTAATTAGTATCCATAAATTTCATTATTTTTCAGACTCACTTCCACTCCGTTTTGCCCATCCCATAGAAGAAATGTGTTGCTGCTTGACCCACTTGTCTCCATCGTCCCCTCAAATGCAGATTCCTACATTGCCTGTTCGGACGGCGAGATTGCGCCGAGTGAGCGCCGGGAGCCCGTGAGGTCTAGGCGAAAAGAGCCCCTTAATCACGCTCATTTACTCATGTTATAAGGCAGAGTGAGTTTCCCACCTACCATCTCATCTGCTACGTCATTTTTTTCAGCCGGAAAAAGTGTGTAATATAAGGTTGCACGTCATATGGACTATGGGTAGTAGCGGAGCGCAATCCAGATGTTATCTTCCGCTAATATCGGACTAGCATATTTGGTAACGCGCTAGGGCGTGGTTGATAAGGTTCACACCGAATATAGGAACCCGTGTACTGCATCAATGATATAATGAAACCACAGTAAGAGTCCAAATGGCCGCACGCAAAGGACTAGCTATTCTCAACCTGCTGGAGGAAGCAGTAGAGGAAGCCTGCAGCAACGGATACAGAAATGGAAAGACGAAGACACAACTCTGCGGTTACCTCGAAAGAGGTGACAGGTTAAACAGGTTACTGCGTAGGCTATCTAGGATTCCACCAGTGTGCAGTGTGAAGATGTGACTTTCTAAAGAGTTATATCTCCTCTTGTTCTCTGACGTTTGCATCCGCAAAAATTGCTGGAGTGGCATGCGTAACACTGAGAAAATTGTCATTATAATTTTTGAAATGTATTCGAAACTTCGATTTTTCATCAAGTCCAATGAGGATAATATACTGATTGAAAAAGGATGTATAAAAAAATCCAGCCTCCAATTCTCCCTTCAAATTGCACTTATAACTATAATTTGCTATCCTTTAGAAAACATATGCTTTACTGCAAACTCTGAAATTGAGTTTCCCTCAACACACGTCGTTTTCTCAACGTTTGTTTGAAGGGATACTGATAGTTATCAGTGGGTTTCTGTCATAAACGTTGCATGGTCATGCGTTCAACTATGCATCGCAGCCGCGATGAAGAAATTTTGTCAGAAGAACGGATATATGGCCCATGAGTTCTACTAATCGCCTGACATCACGCAAAATAATACCAACAATAAACTTAATTACCAACATTAATTACGCTAACAACAATAATAGCTAAATTAACAATAGTAATTGCATCAGTATTATATTTTTTCAGTGAAAGCATTATTTCAACTTGCAAAGAAATTGCCTAGGAAGCGCCCCCGACAGCGTGACAGGGCACTGATCACTGAGGACTAGGGCACTGAGAAGGAAACAGAATCACGACCCAGAAGAAAACATTTTGATGTACCGAGTGCTGAGATATCATCAACTCATTCTAGGGATGATTTTCTTCAAGAAAGTGCAACGCGTTCTTGTAGAATATGAAATAAAATAATGATACTAATTATAAATAACGAACTTTTAAATAAATATTTCATTTAATTCTCATCATCTTCACAACTTACCGGAGAGACTTAATTGCCTCCCTAATAAGGTGAAAATTTAATATTTGACGACGGGCAACACTGCAGACCTACGAAACCTACGGATTGGACATCTCGGTAGCTTAATGGTAGGCGTAACTGGATATAAGCCAGGAGACTCGGGGTTGAGTTCCGGTCGAAGTGAAATTTAGTTAAGAAATATTTTATTTACAATGTGTAAATTGAATAATTTTTTTATCGCCCGAAGAACATAAACTTCAAGTTACACCAGCGAATTAAATAGTTCATCTTAATTGAAGTAAAATATACTTTAAGAAGGTGTAACATTTCTCATTTTAACGATTTTGATTTGTAAATGTGTTAAAATAGTCGGGATTGAGCCATTCACTCCGATATGTTGACATTGCTCTACACCATTGTCCTCGACATAAAAAGAACTATGAGACTGACGAGACGGGTTTCATAAGGCAGCCGGGGGGAATGAAAACTATCCAGCAAGGACGAACATTAAAACGGGAAGGTATTTTGAATACCGCAGAGACACGAGATGACATGGACGGGAGTAATTTGGATCTAAATTTATGAAAGAGATGTACAATAATAATGATTAAAAATAAACAGTATTATTTCATGCCGGTAGATGGGTGATTTTTATATGAGTATGTTTTATATTATAAGGCATTATGTTCTACGTTTTAATTCTTTTGAGTTGGCAATGTTTCTTACGATATTGGGAATCACTGATAGCGAATTCGATATCCCATATAACTGTTTTATTGATGACAACAATAACACATCTCAACAATTTTATGGGCCTTTGTAAGTAAATAGCAGCTGGGAAATAGATGAAGAATTCGTCTGACACTAGAATCTAGTCTGACGTTCCAAAAATATTATTGGATGATGACGAAAGTATACATACAATTTTGTACTCGATATAAACCTACCACTGACAGCGTATAACTGCCAAAATCAATTCGGAACACTAATAACTGCTTCAATAGCGGAGACCCGTGATGATTGGTGGCAAGGCGGCTCGCCTCCCTGCTCTGGGGCGACCTTAAGATCCAGGGGACCCACGAGGAAGTTGTGGGAGGAAAAGCTCGTTGGCCATAGATACACATGGCATTTCCTCCGTTTTTCGTTCCATCCTTACTCCAACATCATTCATATTGTATCTTCATAATCACCTCTCCAATAAAATAATTTATCCTTTCTTAATATGACAGAAATGGTTGAGTACTGACGTTATAATAGAGTTATCCAATTGGATAAAAGAAAAGATCCAGGATAAAGATAAAAATTGCACCTGTACAGCGATGTATTTGGCATAATTTAACATATTTAATAAGAGTTGTCAGTTGTCAAAAGTCATTTATGATGTCGATTTGTTTAGATTGTCTCCAGAATCACGAAGAACACATTTCCAAGTAATCCTGATTCAGGAAGAATAATTATTACAATTGTAATTGGGGATGTGATACATGAATTATAAGGTCACCATGTCACGAACACGTGACGAAAACGACACGCGGGATTCGAACCCACATTCTTAGTGCAACACCTACTCGGACGTCTCAAGCCACTGCGCCACCAGACCGCATGAATCCTCTTTAAAATGTTGAATATCGGGGATCTTATTTCTCAGAATATTAAAGCTGTTTTGGGGATGAGAGTAATGGACTTTTAACTTTGTCACTCGCTACAATGATCTACCTGGCGTAATCCTCCAAGGCCTGCCAATGACGTGTGTTCTTGTCAAGGAAGATCCCACATTACCTATACAAACCTGAGTATTTACTAGAATACTGTGAAAATGTGGAAAGTGTACTGGGACAAAGAAATAACTACAAAACGCACAGTTCCACATAACTTCTTCAAGACAATAATGAAAATCATTTTTGATAGATAAAACGCTATCCTACAACTTGTGGAACTTACTCAG